TGTAATTTCGGAAAAGAAAGAAGGAAGGCGCATAAAGTTCGAAAATATTGTGTTGAATGTTATAACACAAATACAAAAAGATTCGGGCCTACGTTAGCGAGAAAACTAATAAATAAGGTCGTTACTTATTGTAATATGTGCAAATCTCATCCACACTTTTGCTTAAAATGTTTTAATAAACTTCATTAAAATTATAAAATTAATTTTTTAACCCTTGACAATGACAGTTTCACACACCAATGTCGCCCAAACAAAAAGTCCACTGTCAGTCCTCAGGGTGTGATGCCGCCTGAACGAAAAGTGTACTGTCAGTCCCCAGGGACCGACGCCACCTGAACGGATAGTTTACTGTCAGTCCCGAGGGACTGACGTCGCACTCAACGTGTTAATATACAACACTTCATATAGGCTACAGCTGGCTTCTCCCCTTCCTCCTAATATAAAAACTGAAAACGGTTAGTTGAGTTAATTTTAAAATCTGTTATCAGTTTTTTGCGTATGCTCCTTTCCTCGGACGAATCAGTGGGAGAATTCCGCTTGTGCTTGCGTGGACGTATTGTTGTCCAGTTGTGAATCTCGTGTAAGTTTATTTGTTCTTGGATACTTGTTTTAATTTGGGGACTCTTCTTGCCATCTTATTAGCTATTATGCACTCTAGCTTAGGGTATTTGAATAAGGCCTCATCGGTAGACAATTCATCCGAAAAGCCCGTTGGCAACTCCACGGGAAACCCGTCATCCGATTATAACTCAGAGAAGGCCGAGATGGTATCATCCTCTCGATGGATCCTAGAGGTTCCGATTCTTCCTGAATCGATAAGGTTCACACTCTTTAATGACATACATTGAGTTTGTTATTTGAAATACTGGTGTTTGGAATCCTCGTTTTTCAATTCCGACGTTTCGCGTTTATCTCTCCTTACTGTCCTCAAAATCTTCCCTTAAGTTTGGATACTCGGACTCCGGCCTGGGTTACTAGCACTACGACGTAGAGGCGAAGGGGGAAGGAACAAGAAAGCTGAGAAGTGTCACATCTAAAGATCCACTATCTAGTTGCACTTCCCACCGTCCCAAAGTGCCTGAAATAAAAATGAGCTCCTTTTTACCTCGCGACCCGTGAAAATGTAAGTACACGTGTTGCTCATTCATAGTTCGCGTTTTTGTTTAAACTATATATTGAAATCCGCTTATGGTAATCTTATAATATCTCTAAATGTTGCCAGAATTTCGCTCCAAATTCATGTTATGTGCCTAAATTATAAATGTTTCACATGAAGTGTAAATATGACTCGGTGCCGCATTTTCAATACAAAATAAAAAATTGTTTGTTGATTTTAATACAATATTTTACTTTAAAAATTTATTTACATCTTTTCAAACTATATTTTCACACTGCGAAAGCATTTGCAATTTTATGCATGCATTTAGCAAAAAAACAGAATTACGGAAACGCCCTTAAGGACGGTAACTAGCATCGTCTTAAGGGTCCCAACATATGGTAATCAGGGGCGAAGTCCAGATTATAGGGTGGATGGCAAGCATGTCTGCTTGTGTTCGTCCGTTAGCATTTGTGGAACCCAACATGTGTGTATACTTTCCGATAATGAAGTTAATTACTGACACAGCTATCCGCACTACCAACATTAATATGAAGTATAGAAACTTCCCCGCACCGCAATTCGACGATTATTTTGAATAAGTTATTCCTGTTAGTTATTTCTTCTGCTGACGTTGTTTCCGAGCTTCAATAATGTGGTTTATTCTCGACACGTTCTCGACCATCTCTAAAAGCTTTACTCCAATTATATGGGATGCGTCAGCTAAATCCGGACAAAATTAACAACGTATTTAAAAAAAAATTTATTGGTTAAACGTTCAAAATTACATAAAAATCTTTTCTCGTGTCATTCGTGAAACCGTTATAGACAGGAATTACTCAATTTAACCTCCGTCTGCCGCAATTACTGCCTCGATCTTGGGCCTGAAGCGATTGCACGCTCTCTGCAACATTGGCTTGTCCTATATTGAAAAATTCTTCTTCAACAGCGGCCTGTATAGAAGCCACATTAGGATGTCTCGACTTGATAGTGACCCTTTCAATCACGCTCTATACGTAATAGTCCAACCAATTTAATGCTGGACTATTCGGAGGCCAAAACTCTTTGCTCTAAAACAAGTCGACGTTGACCGACAGCTAGTTTTGGTACAAATGACTCGTGTAAACTGGTGCGCCGTCCTATTGAAATATGTACGATCTTCTATAGGCTATATAGTGTTTCACTCACATCCAAAATTGACGCCAATTTCCCAAGAGACTGTCCTTGGTTTTATGCAGTCAGCTCTTAAACCATTTGAACAACTTCCGAAGTCCTTGCTGACCTCTTCCATGAATAGCTCTTCCTCTACGGGATTGCAATATTTTTTTTAGAATTATCCAAAGCTTTTTATTTAGTGGAACTTCGTAAACTATCGATCTCGGATACTTGAAGAATTAAATTATTTCAGCCGGCGTACGTCCAGTGCGAAGACTTTCAATAATTGTCATGCATCAGTTATATTCCATGCTCGATTTTGAATGCTTAACAGTTTTTGAGGTTATGTTCATTCAGAACATTGTTTTAGCTTACTCGGATACAAATACAAACTTAACGCTGAAATAAAATATGATGAGAAATTAGAATTGAAATTTGTCCGGATTTAGCTGACGCACCATGTAGATGCTTATGCCTGACAATGTTTTCTTACCAAACTCTTTTAAGATTTTCACAAATTTCTGTTGGTTTAACGTTTTCTTTCGTTAGAAATTTAATAATAATGATTTGTTCCACATTTGAATATGCTTCCATTGAGTTGGCAAATATGTTCGTTCGGTTTTTTTGACTGGTACAAAATACAATTTATTTAATATACAAAATATGTACTAATCAATAATGTATTGACCAGTCATTTCTATGACTTCTTGCCATCTTTTTACCAATTTCATAATTCCATATTCATAAAACGTCTGAGGTTTACCGGCAAAAAACTGATACAGTTGCGTTTTAACAGCTTCATTATATGCAAAGTTTTTCCCGTTCAGAGTTATGCAGCGACCAGAACAAATGATAATCAGAGGGTGCCGGTGAATAAGGAGGGTAAGGCAAAACATCCCAGCCAAGCCTTAACAATTTGTTCCGAGTAGTTAATGAAGTATGGGGTCTGGCATTGTCGTAGTGATAGACGACTCCTTTTCGTTGTACCAATTCTGGAGGTTTCGAACGTATTGCTTGATTCAATTTCGTTAATTGGGAGCAATATACAGTTGAATCGATCATCCTGCTTGATGGTAAGAGCTCATAATAAATGATACCTTTATAATCCCACCACACTGAGAGCATAATTTTCTTCGGGTGCAATCCTGCCTTCGAGGTTGTTTGTGGTGGTTCACTGCTGCTTCCTCATGATCTTTTACGTACTACGTTATCGTAGACGATCCACTTTTCATCTCCCGTAACCAACCGCTTCAAAAATGGATCGTTTTCTTGGCGTTTCAGCAGCGCGTCGCAGATGGAAATGCGAGAGTTTAAGTTGGCCTTGGTCAATTCGTGCGGCACCCAAACATTGAGGCGAGAAACATATCCTAACTGACCCAAATGGTTTTCTACACTTTTGTGTGATATATTAAGTGTCGTAGCAATCTCTCGTACTGTTTGCGATGGATTTTTGTCGACGGTATTCTTTATTGCAGTCGAATCAGTCTCTGCTGGACTACCAGAACGGGACGCGTCACTAACATCAAAATCTCCAGAACGGAATTTGGCAAACCATTTTTGACACACACGTTCTGTTAAAAGCATCGTCCCCATACACATTACAAATATTCTTATGAGCTTCCGCAGCTTGTTTGCCTTTTTTGAAATAAAAAAGTAAAATATGGCGAAAATGGACGTTCTTTTCTTCCATATTTGCAACCGTGCAGCACGCACAATACTCTGGTATTAACCAGCGTATGTTTACAAATAGGTTAAGTGGAACGTCGCTTTTCAGCTGCGCAAGCGCGTTGTGCGATAGCGCTGTGGAAAAGAGATAGCAGAACGAGTAAACCCACTCCGATTAAAACACCGAAAGAACTTATTTGCCAACCCAATACTTCACTCGTACTTGTCAAACAAATAACATTGCACGCTGAGTACTGTACGATTGAAACAGGTTTGTATTTTTTGCCCCTCATAAAGTAGTGCTACCAGCTTCAGCATTTGGTTTTATTTGGCGCGTAAAATCAAATTATAATTTAAATTTGAACACTCCTCTTATTTAAGTCAAAACGTTTAATAATGCGGCGAAAGCATACTATATTCATATTGTGTAGGTCGTCAGTTCGTATTCTTGCACAAATGTTTTTTATTCTTTTCTTTGTTAAATTTCTCTAATTTCGTAAAATTAGAATGCGCGCGCGCACACACACACACACACACACACACACACACACAAACACCTTCCTTGTTGCATCTATATAATATTTTATTTATCTCAGAAATAAAAATAGTGTTTGTGTAAATAAATAATTTATAAATGTAATGAAGAAGTGGAATTACGTTAGAAATATATAAATGACCAATTCATCTTTTTCGGATAAATTTAATGTGTATTCTTTGGAGAAAAGGATAAATTTTTCAAAGTGTATACTTTCCTGAAATGCAAAAAATCAATTTTTTAACCTCGAAACAATAATCCTGACTTAGCAGAACTTCCACCTAAATAGTTGTAAATAATTCATCACGCGTTCATTCGTAAAAAAGTTGCAGAAAGAATTCGTGGACATACGTCGCGACTTAATTTCGTTTTGCCAAATTTTTTTCATGTAGAATAATTTTTAACGTGACTCGATAATTTTCAGAGAATATAAAATTTCAGAAAACATAACTTTCATTTGTGTCAATTTAGGTTGTTAAACAAGAAAGCCAATTGTCATACATACAATTGGGTTGGAACGTTGTAGCCATTTCATATATCATCTTACACATGTGTCTTTATTGTGCCGCTGGTAAAATTCTCGTAACACAAGTATGTGAAATATCATAAAAGTAACATTTATGATAATACAAGCGGCACGACCCGTTTTATAACTTAATTTTTATCATTGAAAATATATTTTGTAACTTTTCTATGACGACGAAAAAGTTAACTTAATATAAATTTATTTCGAAATCGACATTTATTCAATTGGTATATTTATTAATACAGTTTGATTGTTTTGATATTTAAGTTGCATTTTCTCAGTCTGAAAGAATACACCGTGCTACTTATGAATATGCATGGTACAATATAGAACCGAGAGCAGCAAAGAAATTAATGCTAATTATGCTTTGCTCGAAAAAATCACTGCATATTACGGCTGGAAAAACATTTCCCATGACGATGGCAACATTATGCAATGTAAGTTATGTGCAAGAATATATTAATAGATTTTTAATGTTATTGCGAGTTTTTCTTAATAATACAATTTAATCATTTCATGATCATTCTATGACACAACATAACTTAATAAATATGAGTGGTTTTAGCAATCGGTTTATCCAAATTCGTAGTATTCATTACAGATTTATTTAATAAATATATTCCGTGTAAATATTTCACATCTATTTATTTACCTTTAAAAAAAATGTTACAGTTGATGAAAACATCAGCAGGTTATGTATCTGTTTTACTTGCCAATCAAAATTGATTACGATACTATAAGCTTAGAGCTTATTTGGTTTTTTTAATAACGGGACAGCAAATAACAAGACGTACACTGAATTAATTGCATATATTTGTTCCACTGAAACAAAAATTTAACTAAAACATCACAAAATATAAATTTAAGTAAAAAAGAAATTAAAATAGAAATAGTGGTCAAAATATTAGCAATTTGCAATCTACGCACCATATACGGCATTCACGATATCTAAGTCAAAAGTACTGATCTATGACTAATTTAGTTACACTTCAACGACTATAAATAAGTGCCGATATAATAGGATTTTATAAATGAAAACAATTATTTAATAAATGTTCATAATATTCTTGTTAAATTCTTACATCGCAATATCATTCTGATACACCTGGCCTATATAATTAAAATTAACGTGACACCCTTATTTAGCCAGTGGAACGGAATTGATAAAAATACTTATACTAACTAATTATATTGAAGGGCGAACAACAAAATGTTAATAAATTGTTAAAAAATGTGTAAATAATTTAAAAATATTAAACAAATATAATTAATCAAATTAATATGATGTTACATTCTATTAAATATCCATTATTTTGATATGATGAATTACCGAATTCGAACATTCTCAACTGTGCATATTAAATAAAGATTTTATATAATTTCAATTATTGTCCTTATTTCGAACAGAAAATCTCATATTTTAAACATTTTACAGTATGAAAAGGCTTACATCAAAACTCTAACAGATATTGTCGAGATATTGTCCGTCTTTCCAATTACATGGTTTTACTTCAACTGTTTGCTGAAAATATTTTGCGGCTAAAGTTACATTAATAATGCATAGTACAAATGCATTAAACATTCGATCACAATTCTTCTTTCCAGTAGACAATTCTTTTAGAGCTGTAGAGGTTATCGGCAAACTTTAGTCATCCCATGTTTTTCCAAGATTTTATGTTGTTTCGTGCATGTTTTGTATCGTCATGTAAAAAATTCCAAACGTGTGTGATTACAACCCTTCATTTACAATTGCCTGGAGCCAAAGAGGAAAGAAACACGCAAGCAATGAAAGCAGAAAGTTTTGTATAATGGAGAGTGAAAGAAAGTAATGTCAATAGTCACAAAACATAATATTTTAGGTTGCAAATTCTTTATTATTAATCAGAAATAAGCCATGAATATATATAATATTATGTGATTTTTCTGTTACAAATTTATAATAACAAATATTAACAAGGTTCAAAGTTCAAATTTATTTGAACAAAATGACTGAAAAATTGTGCTATTAGATATTTCGTTTAGTTTTGAGGAAATTAAACAAAAAATATTTTTATTTTAAACAGACGTTATACGAGGGCAAAGTGAAAAGTTCTCGGCCTGACAATGAAAGATTATGATTTTCAGTTAAAAAGCGATTTTATTTTTCTACATAATCTCCCTTGACTTCAACACACTTAGTCCAGCGTTTCTCCAACATCAGTATTCCTTCCCGGAAGTGAGATTCTGGAAGACTGTTAAAATATTCATCTACGGCCCTCTCAACTTCTTCATTGGACGCAAAGCGCTTTCCAGAAACAAATTTCTTCAGGTTTGGGAAGAGATGGAAGTCCGAGGGTGCCAAATCAGGAGAATAGGGGGGATGGCCGAGCAAATCGTACCTAAAATCCAGCGGTTTTCCCATTGCCAACACACTTTTGTGTGCAGGTGCGTTATCGTGGTGAAAGATGATACTTTTCCTCTTCAAGCCAGGCCTCTTCTCGCGAATTTTGACATCGAGCTGGTCAAGAAGGTTAGAGTAATATTCGCCTGTAATTGTTCTGCCTTTTTCAAGGTAATCAATTAACAAGATCCCTTTGGCATCCCAAAACACACTGGCCATGACCTTTCCGGCAGATGCAATCGACTTCGCTTTCTTTGGCGCTGAACTACCGGCTTTCACCCACTGCTTCGACTGCTGCTTGTTTTCTGGCGTGTAGTGGTGGACCCGTGTCTCATCCATGGTGACAAATCGCCGCACAAAATCGGTCGGATCCCTCTTGTATCGATCCAAACATTCCTGTGAATGTCGTTTGCGCATTTGCTTTTGATCCGCATTCAGCAAATGCGGCACCCATCTTGCGCAGAGCTTTCACATACCTAATTCTTTGTGCAAAATGTTTCGCACCTTTTCTTCCAATATGCCCACGGCCTCAGCTATCTCACACACCTTTACTCGCCTATGGTCCAACACGATATTGTGCACTTTTTTGGTAGTTTCCGGTGTGGTTGCAGTTTTTGGCCGTCCTTCACGTGGGTTATCTTCGAGCGACGTGCGACCACGTTTAAATTCAGCTGCCCACTTTTTAACGGTTGAGATTGAAGGAGCAGAGTTCCCGTAAACTTTTGTCAACTTCGGATAAATTTCCTTAGAAGTTAACCCATCCAAAACGAAGAATTTTATGACCGCACGATATTCAAATTTGCCCATTTTAACGAAACACGCGCAAGACGTGTACTGCAAAGACTCGTTTACACAAACTACTTGAGCGAACAAGTTGAAGTTTGTCATACGAACTAATGATATGTGCGCGCAGGCAGGAAATGTAAATTTTCGCCGGTTGGAATGCCATTTTTGGGTCAAGCCGAAAACTTTTCACCTTCCCTCGTATTCTATTTAATCCAAAATATTTTCCGCCGTTAGTTATAACTTTTTTACACTTTTCTCGCAATAAGTGGATTCTGCAATAAAAGAAATGTTCATCTTTCAAAGCAATACATATTCATTAAGCCATTTTTGTACCTCATCATATGTTTTGATGTACTGGTCTGCAAGGTCGTGCTGCGTCGGTCAAAATAAATAATAATTTGCCGGAGTACCATCTGGTAAATATAAAGCATGTGGTAAAACTTTCAATTGAAATATCGATAACATACCTTTAACTACTTTTGCAACGTGTGGTCGAGCAATGTCGTGCAAAGAAATCTATTATTTTTACGTGAAATTCAAAACTTTATTTAATATGTTTCGGATTGTCCGATTTGAGTCAAATATGCACCGTTTTGTTTCATAATTTGTTGCCATTTTAAAGGTAGCTTTATAATGCCTCTCTTAGAGAAGTCTTGGTCCCTATTGACGAAAAACTCTAATAATCGATTTTCACAATTTTCTCTTCATGCCAATTTCTTATCACTAAGGAAGTTTTGCAATGCAAAAAAAACATGGTAATCGCTTGGTGCTGGAATATATGGTGGATGCATCAAAACTTCCCAAACAAGCTCCCAGAGTTTCTGGCGAGTCACTATAGACATGTGTGGCCTGGCGTTGTCCTGATGAGACACAACACTTCTCCTGTTGGCCAATTCTGGCCGTTTCTGGTCAATCGCTAGCTTCAAACGGTCCAGTTGTTAACAGTAGAGATCCCAATTAATGTTTCGTTATATGAAAGCAACTCATAATAAATAATTCTTTTACAGTCCCACCCAATGTACAGCTGAACTTTCCTGGCCGTTAGTCCTGGTTTGGCAACCGTTTGAGCTGCTTTACCGCGCTCTGACCACGGTCGTTTTCGCACAATTTAGTCGTATGTGACCCATTTCTCATCTCCAGTCACCATCCGTTTAAGAAATGGATCAATTTCATTCCGTTTGGCCAAGGCTTTGCAGATGAAAATTCGATCCATCATGTTTCTTTGTGTTAATTGGTGTGGCACCCAAACATCGAACTTATTTTTGTATCCAGCTTTGTGCAAATGGTTTAAAACTGTTTTATGGTCGATCTTTAACTCCTGGGTGATGCTACCACTGCTAACATGCCGGTCGATTATTTCTGTGATTTTATCGACATTTTTGACGACGGGCCTACCTGTGCGAGGTGCATTTTTAACATCAAAAATATCTGAACGGAATCGACGAAACCAAAATTGCACGTAATTGGCTGTTACAGTATCGGCACCATAAACACCATTTACAATTACAGCCGCCTGTTTTGCATTTTCGCCTTTATCAAAGAAAGACTAGTAAAGAACTCAAAGTAAAATATACAGAATTTTCTCTTTGTTGACTTCCATTTTTAACACCCTGTAACTCACAACTTAATGGACCAAACAAAAAACTGCAAAAGAATCTTTTTAGTGCGAAATGTCACCTTTCCAACGAGCATAAATCTGAAATTGTTTGATCGATACTTTACGAGGTATCGATCACTACAACAATCTACCGAAAAAATAATGGATTTCTTTTTTCCCAACCTAATGTTATTGTCAGTAAACAAACAGTAGCAACCAAAACCACGCTTTCAGAAATATCCCCAAATGTGGATCTTAAACGGATGCTTAACTTTTCGCTGGATGATCCTATTACTTTGGACTGTCCAAGCTTTCAAATAGGTAATCATGTCCAAAAAGAGCTTCATCTGTAAAGGTATTTATTCCAATCTTTACTCAAATTTTCATGAGCCCATGCCAGACGTCTTGTGACAAGTTTTTTGTCAGTAAAGGTTCTTTAATTATGGAACGATATTTTATGGTCGATTTATATAAACCATGTCTTATGGTGTTTATTCCAACATATATACTCTTTTCACGAAGTTTATCCCGAGCTTGGCGCAATGTTAGCCTTGGGTTTCATTCAAACAGACAAATGATCGTTTTGTCATCTCTCCACGCTGAAGCACTTGTTAAACCTTTTTCTGGCAACTCGTCAACATTCCCTACTTCTTTGTATTGTTTTACTCATTTCTGAACGAATGACTTTGACTTTTTAATCACATTTTAAGCCTGAGCGTACGTTAATTTTGGCTCCTCTGCATGTAATACTAAAAACCCCGCCTCATAACATTTGAAATGCTTTGCACTTATTTTGAAAATTTCCACTCTAATTAAATCGTAACATCGGAATGACAACACAGTACATTGGAACAAATGCAAATAGGTACACACCAAACTTTCCAACGTCATGAAATACAAGATAACAAAAAAACTTGCCGTTTCTTAACTTCCATATGATGAAGCGCTCACTGAGAGAAAACG